ATCATAACCACACTTATGACGAGCAACGTGTCTCACATACACGCAGAGCCAAGACTCATTTTGGACTTATACAGTGTATGGACTCTAACATTACGGTGTCTCATTTACTTCATGCTATCCCCCGAATACCTGTTTCAAGCTACTCATTTTGACTTCGATCACTTCATCACTCGATTGTCTTGGTGAAAAGGGAGGTTCCTCTTCTGGGTTTATAGTCTCTCTACTCAAACGTTCGTACACACATGTTGGTTAATTTTTAATAATATATTACAAAATATAAATAATAAGTAATAAAACGTTAATATGAATTGATCATATATAATGTATGTTAATATATTATCATATATATAATTATATGTATATAAATGCACTGGGGAATTTGGGTATGATGCGTCTCACATACAAGTAGAGTCAAGACATGTATCAGTACTTCAATATACAGTAAAATCTCTAATAAAGGGACACACTTTGGACTCCTTAATAAGGGTACCCATATTTAAGGTACACAAACTAAACAGTGAAATTGTACCATTATTAGGTTGATGGTATAATGTTTTCAAAATTACAAAATTTTATTTTCGTTGACTAAAAACGAGTTACAGTAGAACTAATTTATATCAATAATTTTTAATTCAAAATTCATTTACCGGTATATATTAAACCCGCAGTAATGTTAATTAAAAATACAAGAGTAATATTTGGTTCCCATATGTCGTGGAAATATTCTTCTGTTTTTAATATTGAGCTTTCTATTTTTTGCATGCTGTACACCCAGAAAGTGTTCCCGTCCTATCAATAGTGGTGTCTCCTTAGTTGGGGTTGGTCCTATTGTTGCTGCGAAGCAGCCAATTCATATTCTTGACAGCAATTTGACCTCTGAAAGGTCATTGTTTGTCAAAAAACCTGCGCCTAAGACTAACTGAAAAGCGGAGTTTCCTTCTTTCGTTCTGCCGGATAAAATCAGTTACTTTAGGCGACATTTGTAGACTAACCTACTCGTGCCAACGTCCGCATGTCGCGACGCTGGAGTACTATTCAGCGTTTTTACTATATTTCCAGGTTTCTAAGTTTAATCGGCTCATGTCTCAGCCACAATAATTTGAGGCCAATATTATTTATGAACCCAGATAAACTTATTTACTAGCTTATTTCAACGTGCTAATTATTACATTTAGGCGACGCTTGTTGTAGACTGGCATACTGTTTTCGGAAATAAATTCCATTTTATACACATGCGCAGATCGATTCGCCAGCAGCGAGATGTCACTGCAGCAAAACACTATTGTACACGGAACCAACGCTGTTCTAATATAGACAATGGGTCGTGTCTCATATTATTTTTTATATTTTTATTATTCATTATTTTCACTTGACTCGCATAAATAATTTTGTTCAAAGAACATTTTATGCAGTTTTACTTCGCAGCACTTCACTTGCAATTTGCAATATTTAGTTGATAGATATAATTGTCCTCATTTCACGAAAAAGGTGTCCCTTGAATAGGGATTCCCAAAAGTAGGGTTCTACTGTGTAACATTGGTCGTATATTTTGTATCTTGGACTGCATTTCTTTGATATTATCTGGAGCTTTTGGGTCGTGAAAAGCTA